CAGAGCGCGTCCTTTGGACCCCAGTCCCTGCGCAGAGAAGCTCCTAGTCTGGGGGAACATTGATGAGAAGGCTGAAAGAGAGAGAACGCCTTCCCCTGGAGCTGACGCCCTGAATTGGGACTTTTAGCCTACTTTACTGTGAAGAAATAAACTTCTCTTTGTTAAAGCCATCCACGTGTGGTATTTCTGTTGTAGCAGCACTAGACAACGAAGACAGCAAGTGTTACAAAACTCTTTTAGCTTTACCGATAAGTGCCCAGAGGCACCCCACTCCACTGACAAGCGTCCTGCCCAAACTCAGCTCTCTCACTCCATAGGTCAGCACGCCCACTGTAGCCACCTTGCTCCATTGCCTGGGAAGCTGACCGTGCTGTCTTGCACCAGTCTCCTGGCTCTGCTGCCGCTGTTTCTCTACCGCTGCTTCTCACCATCTTGTGTCATCTCTGATGTTACAGTTCTCTCTCTCCTGGACTAGGAGGTTCTCAGTCACGGGGAACCTGGGTCCAAAGGACGCACTCCACTCCTGGCTCTCTTTCTTGGTGGTAGTGAGGTCCTCCCTTTCCATCTCTGGGATGGCTCATTTTAAGCCTAGTGGGATGGCAAAACTGACCGATCCCCTTGTTAGGATTCCATACACCTTATTTGCATGGTCCCACCCCCACAAGGGTGCCATGCACTTTTTTTCATAGTCCTACCCAATCATTTGGTGGGAGTTAACAAGACCAAGGCGAGAAAGCTCATGTAAAAGTGATCCATCTCACCGCACCTACTTTCCCATGTCTTAATAACAGTTTTTAAAAAGCACTTTGCAACTACTGTCCACAAAATTTTATAGCAGTTTCATTTCCCACTGTTTATTTTGGCTCCTGCTTGGCAGTCTGTGCTTGCCTGATGCTCTAATCTGGTCTAGTGATTATAGCATATGGTAATATTGAATAAATGCAGAGACAAACAGTACCAAACAATGGCAAACGCTCACAGTGAAACACCAACAATACAGACTGTTCTGTAACGTTCTGCTGTATGAACAACATATACATTTGGAAGCCCAGCCAGTAATTTAGAAATTAGTGCACATGTTGTTTGTTTCCTGACACTGGAGAGCTCAAATTAGCAAGCTTTATATTGCATTAAAATGCGTTTTGGCATTATATCATGTCTTATCCTTTTTTTAAAGAGAAACTAGTTGTAAGCTATAAAAAAACACCAAAACCAAACCCATTGCCGTCGAGTCGATTCCGACTCATAGAGCTACCCTGTAGGACGGAGCAGAACTGCCCCATAGAGTTTCCAAGGAGCACCTGGTGGATTTGAACTGCCAACCTTTTGGTTAGCAGCCAAACACTTAACCACTGCGCAACCAGGGCCCTGTTATAAGCTATAGAGGTATACAATTGATATTTTAAAAAACAACTACACAGTTTGTCAGAAAGAGAAAATCTTATCTGCAAAGTCCAAGGAAACAAAGAATTTAAACAAATATGACTATGTCACACCTATACATGTCTTTCTACTTCTCATCACATTCCATTTTTTTACAATCCTCTATTTACCAGTTATATTTTTATGCTGTATGTTTCCTAAGGATTTTGCTGAAGTTTTCCTCTCACCACAGAGTTTCAATGACAAAAAACAGCTAT